TGTCTAAATTACAATATTTAAACGGGATTAATGTTGATATAATGTGAAATATATTTAGAGAAGCATTTGCTGCATATCTTTTTATCTGTTTCGGACACAGCTGGGGTTAAATAACTCATGTTAAACAATTATTTCATTTGTTCGCTCTTTTCAAACATCTCGTGTTAGAAAGTGAAGTAAATCAAAAGTAATATTAGTGGTCAGAGGTTAAGCATAATTTGTTTTTAAGTAAATCAAAGGTTATATTAATGGTTAGAGGTAAAGCGTAATTTGTTTTTAAGTAAATCAAAGGTTATATTAATGGTTAGAGGTTAAGCGTAATTTGTTTTTAAGTAAATCAAAGGTAATATTAATGGTTAGAGGTTAAGCGTAATTTGTTTTTAAGTAAATCAAAGGTAATATTAATGGTTAGAGGTTAAGATTAATTTGTTTTTAAGTAAATCAAAGGTAATATTAGTGGTTAGAGGTTAAGCGTAATTTGTTTTAAGTAAATCAAAGGTAATATTAGTGGTTATAGGTTAAGCGTAATTTGTTTTTAAGTAAATCGAAGGTAATATTAATGGTTAGAGGTTAAGTGTATTTTGTTTTTAAGTAAATCAAAGGTAATATTAATGGTTAGAGGTTAAGATTAATTTGTTTTTAAGTAAATCAAAGGTTATATTAATGGTTAGAGGTTAAGCGTAATTTGTTTTTAAGTAAATCAAAGGTTATATTAATGGTTAGAGGTTAGGTGTAATTTTTTTTAAGCAAATCAAAGGCCAGAAATCCCCAAATCGGATATGGTTCCCATGGCAGCATGGGACAAGAGGACTCGACCGTCAAGTCAGCGTGAGCAGGTGTACGTTCCCAGTCCTTACGCATCTGGTCGTTTCTCACAATTCTCAGTAGATGGCGACACTGAAGGCTGTGCTTTGCACGGAAGTGTTGGCACAGCTGGAAGCTCTGGTGAATCCCATTCGTACGATGTCCCTTTGCATTTGGTAAGAAATAATCTTTCAAGTTTTTAAACAGATAAGAATAAAATGTATTAAATCATTATTGATATAAAAATTTCTATCGTATTTAGCTTCTAAACTCATTAAAATGTTACACGATTTTAAACTGGCCAAACTTCACCAAGAGATTTAAAATAGTGGGTGATGTCTTAATGGTCCATTTCTTTCCTCTTCCGTTATTATTCTCTAAGATCGATTAGTTTCTGTTCAATAATATAATAATATATTCTATTTAAAGTTATGTTTCTCTAGAAATCACCAAATAAAACAATGATACCGAAAAAGTTTTGGTTACTTTCGTCAAAACCTTCCTTACAATTGGGTGATTTTTTTTCTGCATATAAACAAACACCGCCTATTTTTGTTTTCCAAAATTTTTCTTTCGTGCGTCCAGGATTTTGGGCTTAATTGTCCGGAAACAAGAAGGACATAAAATTTGGTACCAATTAATGACCTTAAGGTCTGAAGACAAGAAGGACATAAAATTTAGTACCAGTTACTGACCTTAAGGTCGAACTGCTTCGATAGCTTTCTCGGTTGTGGTGTTTGTTTTTTGTTTGTGGTTAATTAAGCTACACAATGGGCTATCTGTGCTCTGCCCACCACGAGTATCGAAACCTGGATTCCAGCGTTATAAGTCCGCGGACTTATCGCTGTGCCACTTGTGTGTGTGTGTGTGTGGGAGGGGGAGTTAAGATGTCGATTAAATTTTGTTTAAACTTATAGATCTTGTCCGAATGAGTTCTACAGAGATTTTCACATTTAGATAAAAGTCATCTGCCTCGCCCTTCCCTCCAACCTTTCGGAACGTCTTTTCCGTGTTCTGTCCATTTTGGGGGGTGTAGTGTTAAATGAGAAAAGAGCTCAAGTTTATTGGTCGCTGACATATATTCTTCATAAGCTTCGAACATCCTACATCTGAGCTGCTGAAGACTTCGTTTTGGTTGTTACGATCATTTGACAAAAAATAACCATCGCTAGCTTTCAAACTTGTTAGTTTTATATTTTTATTGTGACATAAGACAGCCGGATTAATGTTGCTGTTGTCGATTAAAACAGAAAAGTTTTTAATCTTTCTACTTGTGACTGTCTGGTGCCGGTCTGAGAAGAAAGGCTTCCATCTAGTGACTTGTGAGTAAATAAATTACATTCTTACACATTAACATGATTGTCTATAAAACCTACTTAGATATAAAATAATTTGTATTTATGTTTCAGGTCCATAGATGACGTGTGTATCGTCGACTGACATTTCGTGACCTTTCAAGTCGTTTGTCTGTCTAAAGTTCACAAAGTATTGTTACAGAAATTGACTGTATACGTCAAACATCATCCACCAATCATAAAATATACAGAATCAACGTCACCATAAGATGAAATCCAGCACAGCTTTTTGTTTCCTTCGTTGTATAATCTGTGGCACCCTGGCGGTCAGTTAATGTCCACGTATATTGTGTTACGTGTGTGTTTAATCGTTCAAATGTTGATAACTAGTAAAGTTGTATATACATTAGCATTTAGAACCTTCTTATTGTTGATTCTTTGGCAAGAAAAATACAGAAAAACTTAAATAGAAAAATATTTTTCACAGAAAACCCCGAAAGATGTTAGCTCATTACAGTAACTAACACAAAGAATTTCAGGTTTAAAGCACATTGGGCCATCTACTGTGTCCACCGTGGGGAATCGAACCTCACATTTTAGAGTTTTAAGTCCATAAACGTACTTACTGCTGCCCTACCGGGGGATGACTTCGTGAGTACTAAGCCCTGATGAGGACAGCAATCAATTTATTAAACTACAACATGTAAATACACGGTATACATCACGTTAAAAAAGCGGAGATTTAAACTATACAACTTCAATGAAGATTAGCTTATACATGTAACTGTAATAACAATGAGTGACTTTTATCATTTTGTCAGGTTTTTAATTTCCTGGAAATAGACTTCTCTAATTTTCTAGAAGTTTCAAGGTCTCAAATTTTAATAATGTAAGTATATATAGCCACAAGTTTTAATTACGGAAGTGTACAAGATAAGAACTTTTTATTTTCTGAAGTATACGACGTTATAAAGTTTATTTATATGTTTATTAATATCTGAAATCTACAAGACTAAAAGATCAACAAACGTGGAGTAAACATAAATTTTCTAATCATTCTCCTCAGGGTAACAAAACTATGAACAACATTCTTGAAACCAATAAACCTTTAGATGATTAATTATTTGGTAGTTAGCGTGATTTAAATGTTACTACACACGTTTCTTATTGGACCAATCAAGAATGAAGTGATTAAAATAATAAAAAAACAACTGATAGCAGCACTTTTAAGACAATATTTTTCATATTTTTGTTGGCGTGACAACAATTTTCCCCAGAAATTCCGAACACTATTGGTGATATTATTGTTAAGAATGTGAACGTGTTTTTATTCTTAATTCAAACTGGAGTTTATTAAGAGATATTTTTATAATAAAATAACGACCACTATCTCCAGAATGTAAGTTTTTCGCACAATATTTCGCTATTAGAGCTTCGTGGGGAGTTATCTATTTCGTAACAGTTTATTAATATCCCGTTGAATTTCAAAGAAAGCTAATAAAGTTACATTCTGGAGATAATATAGGTTTATAAAAATGTACGTATTTTTACATTCGTGACAAATCTATAAGGTTATCTACCAACGTCCCTAATTTGGAACTACAAGTCAGAGGGAAGGCAGCCAGTCAGCAACACCCTACTATCCACACTAAGGAGTTGACTGTTACACTTATAACGCATAAATTTAAACCGGGGTGGGGGAATTTTTGGGTATGGGTTGGATTTGAATTCGAAATATAGAGCTTTACAACAGCGCCAAAGTTGCGTCCAAGAGAAGTCATAATAACGTTCAATATTACGGTGTCAAATGCCGAAAGCAGCTGAAGCTGTGATAGTAATAGGCTTAACATTGATCACACTAGATTAGGCTTAACTTTGATCACACTAGACTAGGCCTAACATTGATCACACTAAACTAGGCCTACATTGATACCACTAGACTAGACCTAACATTGATCACACTAGACTAGACCTAACATTGATCACACTAGACTAGGCCTAACATTGATCACACTAGACCTAACATTGATCACACTAGACTAGGCCTAACATTGATCACACTAGACTAGACCTAACATTGATCACACTAGACTAGGCCTGACATTGATCACACTAGACTAGACCTAACATTGACCACACTAGACTAGACCTAACATTGATCACACTAGACTAGACCTAACATTGATTACACTAGACTAGACCTAACACTGATCACACTAAACTAGGCCTACATTGATCACAGTAGACTAGACCTAACATTGATCACACTAGACTAGACCTAACATTGATCACACTAGACTACATATTTTTTTCTTCATATTCCTCTGAGTTAGTTCATTACGTACTTCAAATCAAAGTCTTCAGAAATAGCATCTTATATGCACTTTTTGTTTAGTACACGTCGCTGCTCAGGTGGAATTCTATTCAATACTAGAGTGGAATCGGAACATCGCTAGAGCTTTTCTGTCGTACCCAGACAAAATACTGGACCACAGGAGCACACATTGATTTGACGGATTTTGGTAATATGCAATATTACACAGAAACAGTAGATCCGGTAAACTTTGTACATTATCACTTTTACAACAAAAGTATGCTGTAATCATGTGTCACCTACTAAAACATTTTTTTGTCAGGAAAGTCGGAAATAACAAATGGTTTTAAAATATTCATCGTCTCTAACGTAAATAAACTTTTGTCAGTAATGCATAACCAAGACAACCTTCTAAATGATATCCTTCTTCTCATATTCTTTTCGTAAGTTATACATGTTAAGCAAGATATCTGAGGTAATATTACTGTTTTTATTGTTATAACAACTTAGTAGAGCCTTGTATGACCGGGTGGTTAAGGCGATCGACTCGTAATTTGCAGCACGCGGGGGTTCGAATCCCCGTCCCACCAAACATGCTCGCCCTTTCAGCTGGGGGCGTTATAAGTGACGGTTAATCCCACTATTCGATGGTAAAAGAGTTGGCGGTAGGTGGTGATGACTAGCTGTCTTCCCTTTAGCCTTTTATTGCTAAATTAGGGATGGCTAGCGCAGATAGCCTTCGTGTAGCTTTGCGCGAATTTCCAAACAACTTAGTATT